TTTTAATTGACTGTGGTTTCTTTGGGGGGGGCGCGAAGATTATGAATGCCACCATCTCTGTAGTTGGCAAAGCTACAAATCATGAATGACACATGGCATATAAAACCCTTACCCCACCCACACACTCAGTCTGAAATTACTCAAAATACTCCAGTTGACCAAGAAAGGAACCAAAGTAAAGAGCTCCTAATAGGGACAAGAGGAATTAAAAGCAAGCACAAGAGTGAGCGATCAAGTCAAACTCAAAGCCACTGTCCAAACAGCTGCTGTTGTCTTGGCTACGACACTTAATGTAAATGTCAAAAATAATTCTCTCATTAACTGTGATCCAACATAAAATATTTTAATATAAATCTAAGTCTGCTTTAGAAAATACAATGCTAGAACATGACATGAGGGTTTATGATCACAGATTAAGAAACCATTGTAAAAATGACACAGCAACTCCTGATCTTTTCTAGTACATTTTGAAATTTTGATAAAAATGAATGATGCCAGAAAACCAGAAGTCACAACATGGACATGGGACCAATAACTCTGGGAGAAATTTAAAAAATTATTCTAACATAATCTTGAAGAAAAGAGTTGAGGTGACCCTCTGTCAGGAAAGTGTGACCCCCCCATCTGAGCCAGTGGCTGCCAGGACTACCCAGCATCTGGGCTCAGATTCCTGTCTCAAGCTTCCACTACATCTCTGAATAAGCCTTCCTGCCCTGTTCAGGGTTCCCAGGAAGGAAAGCGAGCTCTCTGAACAGTCTCAGAAGAGGAACTTGGAGGTGGGGCATCCACTACTTAATGTTTCAACACCACCCGTCAGGGGAACATTCTTGGCAGCAGCTGGAATTTCACAACGGAAGGGGGACTCTTATTAAAAGGGCCCAGGGTTGGACGCAGAATACCAAAGAAGTCAGGCCTTGTTTCCCAAGCTTTTGAAAAAAGCATCATCCAACTATCTTCCCCATCACCCCCTCCTTAGAGCCAACAAGGTTCTGCCCACAAGTCACAAGGAATGGCTGATGGTCACTGAGTCACCAAGCACAAGTCAGGCAAAGCCACTCATGCTGACCAGACCCATCCTTACCTCCTCAGCTGGGGGTGGGGGGAGGTTCTTCCACTGAACTTCATCTTTCATCTCCCTCAGGCTCCCCAAGCCCAGCACCCAGCAGGTCTCAATTCTAAGAGTTTGGCCAAGCCCTAGATGACTGTAGGATGCTGGGGAGCCCAACACACCAGAAACTCTGTCCTGGACTCTGAGGACATCTAGCTCTTCCACAGAGAAGGCTTTGATTGTCTCCTTTGAACCAGGGGACACTGAGACCACAAGGATAAAGGCAGAGATACCACTCTCAGCAGGCATTGGAGGAATTCCAGGGGTGCAGCTGGCCCTGTGGGTAGGCTGCTGGCAGCAACCCCAGGACTCTGGCTTTTAATGTCTTTAAGGACAGGGATGCAGCAGAAGAGTCATTGGCTGAGAAGAATCATTTGTGTCTTGTGTTTGCATTATGACAGTGTTGGGCAAAGGTGGCTCATGCCAGCCTCCCAGCAAGACCAACTTGTCCATCACATCATGGGCTGGACGGAGGGGTGACTTAATGCCCAGTTCACACAGTTCTGTCAATGCTCCAGGCTAGAGAGGCTGGGGCCCAGGCTGCCACCATAAGTGCAGCAGGGTATCTCCTCTCTGGCTCTTAAGAGTGTCTATTTTCTGGAAGAGGCAGGCTGGGCTGAGCAGCTAGTGTAGATGGGCATGGTAGGGCTCAAGAATGCTAGCAAGTGAAATGTAAACCTCTTCATTTGTTGGGGTAGAGACATACATTGGTTTTCTTTTTCCTCTATTAACTGTATCTGATTTGCTGAGGGACAATGTACAGTAGTGGTTAAGAACCCAGACTCCCTGGGTTTGTATTCTGACTTTGCCACCTCCTAGCTGTGTGACTGTAGGCAAGTTGTTCAACCTTTCTGTGCCACTAATGGTCCACGCTTTTCTCCTACCACACCAGTGTCCTGAAGAGGTGATTCAGTTTTCTGTCTCTTATTGCTGACTTTTCTCACCCTGACGATGGTCCACTGGGGTGGGGTAACAGGACTGCTCAAGCCCAGCTGTGTTCCTGGCATCCACCCCTCACCCCCACAGTGGACTTGCAAGTTGTCCCTTCTGCCCCTTCTCTGACCCCTGCCAATGCTCCTGAGGAGGTGGGGGTGGCATGGCAGGTGGCCCATGTTCCCTTTAGATAATCATGCCTTCAAGCCCTTGGCTTTGGAGAGAGGAAGAGGGCCTTCAGGAATGGTCAACAACCCTTTTCCCCTTCACAGTCTTATGGTGATGGGTACATGCATCGCTGTACCAGTCTGTACAAAGGCTACCCTGCCATTCCACCAAAGTAGTTGCAGCCCCTGTCCCGATGGCTCACAGGATGTTAAATATTTATTTTATTTTTAATTATGTGTTTGTGCATGTGTCTGTGCCTGTGAGTTCAGGTGCCCTTGAAGACCAGAGGTATTGGACCCCCCCCACCCCGGAGTTAGAGTTACAGGTAGTCGTGAACCATCTGATATGTATGCTAGAACCAAATCTGGTTCTTCTGAAAGAGCAGCCAGTGCTGTTAGTCCCTGAACCATTTCTCCAGCCCCTCACAGAATTTTTGAATTCAATACTTTTTGTCCTTGGGGTTAGAGGTCCAACCACAATTAGGGAGACAAGAAAAGTCCTACTTGCCACCTTGGTCTGTTTAGGCCAGTGTGATTTTCCTACAACTCTGCCCTGACCCTGGTACTCTAGAGCAAATTCCTCACCTTCTCTGGCTCCCAGAATTCCCTTGTGAAAGTGAAGAACTTGCCAGGGAGACTTCACATCTTCCTCAAGAGCTTGGCCTGGGACTGATGGGCAAGAGAGCAGGTTGGGTGGTGGCATGGGGCCCCAAGCTCATTTGCATGAAAGTGCTGTTGTTTGGGAAATAAGCTCTAGCATTTGGGCTAACACTGAGGGTAGTAGCCCTCCCCTGATGGTTGTTCAACCACACCAGGTACCAGCACAGTCCAAAATGAGAGATGGGCTGAGCCTGGGAAATTTCTCCATCTACCTGAGGGTAACGAACTCTACCTAGCCCAAAAGCAAATGTGACAGCTGCTGTGAAAGGGCTTACAGATGCTCCAGGACATGCCAGCACCACCCAGCAAACACCCAAGGTCAAGACTAGTCAATGAAAATTTTTCTGAGCTTAGTTCATCATCCCAGCATCCAGAGCCATGGGACCTGGATCAGCCTGTGTCCCAGGCCAGCCCAGCCCCCTAGCTCTAGGATCTAGATCCTTGGCAAACTCATCCCTACACCCAGAATTTGGCAATAATGGTCATTTCTTTCTGGAATACTCTTCTTCACACTTTTCCCTTGGTGTCCCTTAACCAGCCTAAAATGTATTTTTTGGAGACCCCAAACAACCTGATATGAGTTCCTCAGCTGTCCCCTTCCCTGCACCATCCTCTCTGCAGAGCATGTCATCTTCAGGAGTCCTTCTGTATAGTCTTCAGGGACAATATCGCCCACCCAGGAATATGGCTGCTCTATTTGCTGTTCTGTCCCTGATACATAGTAGGTAGTCAGAAAATCAAAGACAGCATGGTTATATGGGTGCTACTTTCTGGGTTCCAACTTCTGTGCCATCTTGGTTTCATGGTTTACCACCCTCCAGGGTCATCAGTGGGATAGCCCATAAAGGGTTTATTTTTCACGGGGTGCATGCTCCTCTCAAGCTGGGGAAGTGGGAGAATTTGCTTAAGCTACGGGCTCTGAGATCCTAATGTTCAGCTGGATCTGGGTGAGGAGTTCATCCATCTTTGCATGTTGTTTGCATGGCTCAGCTCTGAGCTTCTGCTTCCCCTTCTGGTTTCCTGGTCCCTCTCCGGATCCACAGAGCTGGTCCACCACTTCCTCGATTTTCCTGATGACCCAGCCTGACAGCCCAGGGATAGTGTTTGCTGGGAAGGGATGACTGCAGTGAAATAAATTCCTGAGGACAGGGCAAGTGTGGCAGAAATGGTGGCACGACAGTATCTTGCAGAGGACGCTTAGGGTACCCAGTGCGACACTGCCCTCCCTGCAGCCTAGTTCCATCTGGATCTGCACCATCACCATCCCCACTTCACAAATGAGCAAACTGAAGTTTGGAAAAGCTCAACATTTGCCACACATCTCATGACTAGTAAAAATCAGAGTCCAGATTTGGGTCTCAGTCTACTGGGTGCCACAGCCAGATTGAATCACTGTGCCAGGCTGAAGCCCCTTCTCTAGCCCCCTCCTTGTGGCCTTCCAGCTGGGCAAGTCGGTCCTCAAGAGAATGTGGCAAGGGCTTTGGAAAACTGATGACATCGCCAAGCCTTAGAGAAAGGAAAGATAAAATTGCAAAGGAAGAAGTTAAGGCAGAAAGGATCCGGGCACCCCAAGCAGAAGTTGTGAGGGATGGGGGTGGAGGACATGTGGGGACAGTCTCCTAACCTAATTCTAGCCCTACCACTGTAGTGTTGGGGTATCCAGCACATGGAAGGAGATCCTGCAGCCCCATCTCTAGAGAACTAGGGTGCATGTGTCTGGAAATTCAGAAAAAAATCCTCCATGTGGTTTTGATTTCCCCTTGGAGGTTCCCTGCCCAGCTTCCTGGAGTCTGGCCACCCTCTGGCCATTCTCCAGGCACTTGGCAACACTCCACACTGCCTGGTGGAGCAGGCATGTCCCCTGCCCCTCTGACCCATCCCTTAGCCTCTCTTCTTCCGCTTCCATGCTGTTTGGCCACCGGGGTGCTCTTTCCCACAACCCAGATGAATCTTCTGGAAGCTGCCCCTGTCCTTCGGTAACTGGAAGCCTCCTTGAGCAGAGCCCAACGCACCCAAGTGTACTGTGAACTTCTGTCACTCTTTGCCGCTGCTCTACTGGATTGAGGGCTCCCCTAGCCTGGTGTTCTCTGGGAAGTGAGCTCCACAGACTGACCAGTGTTGTCTCCATGCAGGCAATGACTCAGGATGCTGCCAGGGGCCACGACGTGCACGGAGGACCGCATCCAGCATGCCCTGGAGCGCTGCTTGCACGGACTGAGCCTTGGCCGCTGCTCTGCTCCCTGGTCAGGTAGGTCTCAGGAGTTAGGAAGGCTCAGAGACCAGGCATAACAGCTAGACCTCACTTGGGCAGGCACCGGGCACAGCTCCTGATTTAAAGTCCTCCATGTGTGGCTCTCCCTGCTTTCTCCCACAATATCTTCATCCTCTTTGACCTCGTGTCTTGCTTTCTTAACATCACTAGATACATAGTTTCCTGAAGACCATATCTAACCTGCTAAAAACACAGCCACTATCTCCTAAAGAACTGCCAGGAATTTAGACAGCTCTCCCCAAACACTGTTGTTGCTTCTAGTTCTTTCCATAGCCCCAGCCTCTCTTCCCTAAGTAGCACAAAGGGAAAATCTCAGCAAAGCTGCAGGGGTGGCCGCAGGTTGAGGCAGTTGTGTCCCTGGAGGCTGGTACCTAATTGTAAAGACTCTTTATGGAGCTAAAGGCTTTTCACATCCTGTGTCTTTTGGCTTCCTGCTCTGAGGTCAGTACCCACTGCTTCTTGACATGCCTGGTTCCTTCCTGCATTACGACCTTTATTCTTGCTGCCTAGAACTCTTCCCTGGGAATGGGCCCCTTGATGTTGGTCTCAATTTGGATGCCATCTTTCCTTGTCCTTTGGGATTAGACACATTTGGATTAAAACTTTCATCGACCATACAACCTTGCACATGCTGCTTATCCTCCAGGGACCCCCAGTTGCTTTGTCTGGATAAGGGAATAATACTAATAACATTTTTCCAACTAGAGGATGGGAGACAAGGCAGAGATAATGTGTGCAAAGGCCTAGCACCATGCTGGGACACAGGTGTTCAATAGCAAGCGCTTTTCCTTGTTTTCTCCTCAAGCCTTTCCCTCCCTCCCTCCCTCATTTTAAGATTCTCTTTCTCAGTTTAAGCTGGTTTCTCTCTCCCTCTCTCTCCCTCTTTCTTTCTTTCTCCTCTTTCTCTTTCTTTCTTTCTTTCTTTCTTTCTTTCTTTCTTTCTTTCTTTCTTTCTTTTTTTCTTTCTTTCGAGACAGGGTCTTCCTGTAGCCTCAACTTGCCTGGAACTTGCTATGTAGTCCAGGCTGGTCTTAGCTCCTGTCTCTGTCTCATCAAGTGCTGGGATTAAAGGCATGCACCACCACACCCAGCCTTTTCTTCCTGGGTTTTGATGGAGCCTAAGCAGATAGTTTGGGGTAGGCATTAAGTTAAAAAATATGGAAATATCTGATTTCTGAAATGCTTTTTTTTAAAATTACAGTGCTGAGTGTCAAACCTAGGTCTTCATACATGCTAGGCAAGTGCTCTACCACTGAGCTACAGCCATAGCCCTTTTTCAAGTTTAAAAATAAAAAACATCTATGGGCAGATGGTGTACTGCTAGGGGCTGCCAGGAATTTGAAAAGCACTCATGCATATGAGGAGGCATGGGTCCAGGATACATGAAGGTCAGGGTCAGTCCCCTTCCACCGTACTGCATGAGAAGTAGTGAGTACACGTCTCATCCCACCCTACTGCACTCACTTCTCATCCATTGACAGCCTCCCCGAACCCTGTGGCCACCCCTTTAATTTTGGGGGGTTTTCCCTTGCTGACTTCAAGGAAACAGAGACTAACAAACTGAGAAAGTCTGGGGAAGTCACAATGACAAAAGTGCTCATAGCTTTTCAGCTAAAAATGGATTTAGCTTCCCTTTCTTGGGCTCCACTGCCAAGCAGTCCTGGGAAGTCCTGTGACTGTCACAGACTCTTTGCTCTTAGGTCTACGATGGAGCTTGTCATAGCTCCTGTCCTTATTCTTCCAGCAGTTTCTACCTCTGACTTAAGTTCCGTGCATCTCGTAGAAACCAGTGTCCACTGCAGGAAAGCTGGGCAGAGAAAGCTCTGGGAGCACTGGTATAGCCAGAGATGCAGGAGTAGAGTCTCAGCAAGTTCACTGGCTTCTAAGGGATCTCAACCCAAATCTTCAACCTGCTGGTGAAAGCGCCTCCTGTAGATACAGGAGTAGGAAATGGGTTGCTGAGTCTTATGGGGGTTTTGTTAGTGTTTTGAGAAAGGGTCTTGCTATGTAGCCCAGGCTAGCCTTGAATTATGTAGCCTAGAGTGTCCTAAAGCTCATGATCTTCCTGCCTCAGTTTCCCAAATGCTGCAGTTACAGGCCTATGCCACCAGGCCTGGCTTCACTGTGCTTTGGTGGAGCTTGGTGGCATTGAGTGATGGCCTAGAAATTTCTCCAAGATCCTATCTAAAAAGAAATATTCCAGCGCATTCCCCGCAGTGTTCCAGGATAGATCCCTTTCTCAACAGCCCTGCCTGTGACTGGCCAGAGAGGGCTGAACTGACCACTGGTCTCTCTTGCTTTCTGTCCAGCCGGGCTTTGTCTGAACTGTTGGAGCCTACAGGAGCTAGTCAGCAGGGACCCAGGCCACTTCCTCATCCTCCTGGAGCAGATCCTGCAGAAGACCCAAGAGGTGAGGTAACCCAGGCCCTGAAGGAGACAGCTGGGATTGGCCTTGTAGAATTGAGATGTAGGTCAGCCCTGGGGCCCCCAGACCACCAGGAGGACTTGGCCAAGGCCCTGGAAGCCCTTCAACCATGTTTGTGCACTCAGGCTTTCTAGAAAGGTTTGTTCTTCCTAATAAAAGCATGTGGCAGGTACTGCTGGGGTCTGAGTTCAAGCCATTTTTTTTTAAAATTATTTATTATTTTTATTTCATGTGTATGTATGCAATGCTTGCATGTAGGTAAGTGCACCCATGTCGTACAATGCCTGTGGAGGTCAAAAGAGGCTGTCGGATCCCCTGGGACTGGAGTTATGGACAGTTGTTAGCTGCCATGTGGGTGCTGGGATTCGAACCTGGGTCTTCTGCAAGAACAACCAGTGTCCTTAACTGCTGAGCCATTTCTCCAGCCCCTCAAGCCACTTTTTAAGTCAGACATTGCTTGTAAGTGAAGAAATTGACTAGAAGGAGAGAAAAGGAGGGAGGGAGCTTTACTGAATTCCTTTTCTCAAAAACATCCATAACAAAGGCATGAAGAAGAAATGGATTTGGAAGGGAAACTGGGGCCTTCTCCAAAAGTTCAATGCACAGACTATTTATTTATTTATTTATTTATTTATTTATTTATTTATTTATTTTACATTTATGCATGTTTGTGAGCATGGATGTGTTGCGTGTCCTAACTTGCAGGAGTTGGTTCTCTCCTTCCATCCTGAGGGTCCC